TTTGTTTGTTTTTTAGTTTTTGCTATAGCGAATATCTGCTCCCTGGAGAGGCAGCAAGTGAAAAATCACTCCAGGGGCTGGCCGTGCTGCTAATCCCTTCTCCTCCAGGGATTCCGGACACACACGCTCACCTGATGTGATTTTCAAGCTGTCAGTATTGGGATTTGAACCACGCTGTTGGCCACATGTTATCCGCTGTCTTAATCTCCATGGCACCTGCTGGCCTGACGCCTGTATTTCTGTACAGAACAAAAACCTTATTTTTTTTTTAAAGAATTACTTTATTTTATTTTAATTTGACCAGAGAGGAACAGAGTAAGAGAGAGACAGAGAAAGTGAGAAAGTAAGCTGCCAGGTCTGGGAGTCGAACCGTGGTTGACCATGTGGGAGTCCAGTGCACTTAACCACCATGCCACCTGCTGGCCCCTGTTCTTTTTGTTGTTGTTTTGTTTTGTTTTTGTTTTTGTTTTGAGAGATTTTCACTGTAGGGCGCGTGCGCTCGCCAGACAGACAGAGAGACATAGAGATAGAAAGCGAGAAATCGCCCCCCAGGGGGGATGGTCACGCCGCAATCCCTTCTCCTCCATTCTCCTCTCGGGATCTTGGGCACGCACGCACACGCGCCCGGCATGGGTTTTAAGCCACTGGGTCCGGGACACGAACCGCGGTCGACTACGTGGGAGTCCAGCGACATAGCCATTACGCTAACTGCTGGTTCCCTTGTTGTTTTGTTTTTTAAGGATACTTCAAATTATGGCTTTAATCTGTTTTATAAGCCTTATTTTCTGTTAATTTCTGGATGAATTGGAATGCTTGCTTAGTACCATACCACTGTGTTCATTTGGGTCCCGCCTTCCCTGCCTATAGGACCCACTGCTTCCTCTTGGAGGGTCCTTTTAACTTCTCTGCAGGCTCAGATCTACTCGTCACTCCTCTTGCCCCCTTTATTTCAGTCCCCCTGGATGTTCTTGCTAAAACCGATTTCTCCTGTTCTTGAATCACCAGAAATCCTGAGTTCAACTCAGTTTGGACACATTCTTTTGGACCTGGTGTGTTAACTAGGGAAGCTCTTCTTCCCATCAGTGCAGGAGAGCTGGAGCTGGGGTTGATACCTCCATCCGAGCCAGGCTCAGAAAGACCAGGCGCTGTAGGTGGCACATTGGCACACCTGGCAGGTACAACGTCAAGGAAGGTGAGATGTTCCACAGTGTTGGCGGGCCAGAACAGAAGGATATCGGGGGGCTAGCAGTCAGCGTAATGGCTATGTCGCTGGACTCCCATGTAGTCGACCGCAGTTCACGTCCCGGACCCGGTGGCTTAAACTCACGCCGGGCACATGTGTGTGCGTGCCCAAGATCCCGAGAGGAGAATGGAGGAGAAGAGATTGTGGCATGGCCATCCCCCCTGGGGAGTTGATTTCTCGCTTTCTGTCTCTGTCTCTCTCTGTCTGTCTGGCGAGTGCACGCACCCTATAGCAAAAACCTCTCCAAAAAAAAAAAGAAGGATATCAGAGAGTCATTTTGGGAGGGCTGACGATTAGCCATTAGTTTCTCTCCACACGTATTTTTTATTTTATTTTTCCATTTTTGCTATAGGGCATGTACACTCCCTGGAGAGACATAGAGATAGAAAGTGAGAAATTACTCCCCTCCTCCAGAGGGGATAGCCACACCACAATGCCTTCTCCTCCATTCTCCTCTCAGGATTTTGGGCATGCATACACATGTGCCTGGTGTGTTTTAAGCTGCCGTGTCTGGGACTCGAACCACAGTCGACTACATGGGATTCCTGCAATGTAGCCATTTCATCATCTGGTCTCTCCACATGAATATTCAGCCAGTCTATTTGGAGTGAAGCGGGACTCCCAGGCTTGATTCTCAGTGCCTTGGTATTCTAGGTTTGAAGTTCGGGGCACCATCTCCAGGCTCTTAGCTCTTCTGTCCCCCGGGAGTATGACAAGGGCTTCATTGTGTCTGAAGATCCCAGTGACAAAGGTTAAAGTCCAGCCATTCAGGTGTCATCTCATCATTTGTCTAATCTGGGAGTCGCATTCCTGAGCGGCAGACGCCCTTTTCAGAACCTGCCTAGTTGAGATGTCACTTCCCTGACAGTGAGGCTCTTAGGCTCCAAGAGGAAAATCACAATGTGTACCCCCGCCCCACCCCCCCTCCTCAAATTTTCCCGAACAATTAACGCTGCACTAACTTGACACCCTCTTTCCTTGTTTGGCTTTGTAAACCCCGCTCCCTTTTTCTATTAATTCCAGACATTAATATTTTCTTTCACCCAACTGCCGCCATTCACCCGTGAAACAGTTTGAACATTATGTAGCTGTCAGGAAGCCTAGGGATTACCCAGTGTGCCTTGCCGGTGAGAAAGTGACACCTCCGAGGCCTAGTTTTGAGATGTTTATTTTGAGAGTACGTTGACAAGCATGAAGGCTTGATCCCAGAGTGGCAATTTCATTTAATTAAAGGCCTCTTTTTTATTACAGTTTTTTCCTCACTTAAAAAAAAAAATACATACACACACACATATGTGTATGTATATATCAGAATGGCTGTTAAAGTCTGCTCACTACAGGTGCTCCCTCGTACTGTAAAAGGGAGGGGTGGGCAGATCTCTCACTGGCTGGTGAGGATTCCTCTGACTGTAAATACGCTGGGTCTTATTTTTATTGCCCCTCTCAGATCCGCTGCTCAGCTGCGTGTGAGTGTGCGTGTGTCTGAGTTTAAGACAAAAAGCCTTCTGCCGTGCTGTTGTCGAACTGAAATGGTGAGCTTCAGCTTCGAGTATGCACCTGTTCTATTTGTAGTTTCTTTCTTTTTTTGTTTGTTTTTCAGAATTACTGAATTTACTTATTTTAATTTGACCAGAGAGAAACAGAAAGTGAGAAAGCAAGCCGTCAGTTCCAGGATTTGAACCGCATTCAGCCATGTGAGAGTCCAGTGCTCCTTGCAAGACTATAAGGCTAATTACCAAAATTGCACCGCAGTTCATCTATCTGTTCAGGCTTTTCAACCATGTATATTCTTACTCTGTAGCGATTGCTACTTTGAGTTCAAATAGTTGTATCTATTCTCAGTAATTTTAAAATGCTTTGGCTAAATAAAACCATAAAAGGAATCTGAAGGGGCCAACAGGTGATGCAGTGGTTAACGTGCTGGACTCCCACATGGTCAACTGCAGTTCAAGTGGTTAAGGTGCTGGACTCCCACATGGTCGACTGCAGTTCAAGTCCCAGACCAGGCAGCTTGCTTTCTCACTTTACGTTTCTCTTTCTTTATCTCTCTTTGGTCAAATTAAAATAATAATAGCAAATGTAATTAATTAAATAAGTAATTATTTCCAAAAAAAAAAAAGAACCTAGAAAAAGATCGAAGTCATTAATGGTGGGTATTAATGATTTGGTAGATGTTAGTGACAGGGTAGCCTAATTACTTGGTTGTGGAAAAGCCATGGCACATTTTGTATAGAAAAACATGGAAAATACATGATGACTTTTCCAATGACCTGGTAATTTCTGGTGTAATATTCTTAGGCTATATTGGATTGTCTTAATGCCACAAATGCATTTCTGTAAATATTCTGGGGTCCTCTCAGGCAGTGTATGGAAAGGGGGATAGGGCAGGGTATGTTACAGGTGGCTGATCTTGATGTACTTACTCCTAGCGCTGTGTCCCAAAATTAGCTGTAATACTGTCACTCCTCCAGTGGGGTGGTTCTCTTTGTAGTGTGGTGAGCTGGCCCCTGTGTATTCCCCTCATTGTTGATTCATTTGTGCCTTCTTCATTCACTTGCTGTTAATGAACAGTGCATCCCGGGCACTGCACGATGACACACAGACATACATGTAATACCCATACACACTATATCATTTGTGTATCTGTTCATCCGCACTGCCTCTCCCTCCTCCGTTGATCTGAGAAGTGTGGAGGAGGGTCTGCCATCAGCTCTTCTCTTTGTTTTGGGCAGAGTGACCCCAAGGACTTTATTCATTCTTTTTTCTTGGCGTCTGTTTCAAAGCTCTCCAGGAGGAGCCTGCAGGTCAGTGGTGTCAGCCCCCACGGCAGCTGAGGGCCCATCCGACCATAGCGTTCAGCTCGCTGGGGTGAGACGATCTGCTCTGCATCCGTGCAGATGCCGGGAGGCAGCAAAGAACGGCAGCTTCGTGCATTCTATCTCTATGCCCCCGGCTTCCGTCTTAGCACCGGCACCCCATCTTTTAAGCCAAGGGTGTCACAGATCGATTGATTGGCTATGAATATATTTTAAAGAACAGGAGTTCGTGGAATTGGCCCTCTGGCTAGATATTAGAAATGGTTCATTTCTCTATTCATGGACTTTCTACCTCTTCTAGGGGAGAGCTTCTCTCCAGGACTCCTGACACCCTCGGCTGGTGCCTCTGGGTTTGATTTCTTGAATTTCTTTTTTTTTTTTTTGGAGAGGTTTTTGCTATAGGGTGCTTGCCAGACAGACAGAGAGAGACAGAGACACAGAAAGCGAGAAATCACTCCCCAGGGGCAGATGGCTGTACCGCAATCCCTTCTCCTTCATTCTCCTCTCGGGATCTTGGGTATGCACGCACACGCGCCTGGCGTGAGTTTTAAGCCACCGGGTCTGGGATGCGAACTGTGGTCAACTACATGGGAGTCCAGCGACATAGCCATTATGCTAACTGCTGGTCCCTGATTTCTTGAATTTTTATGGATAATATAGGAATGCCATACTCACAATGAAGACAGACAAGATGAGCTCAAGGAACCCATTTATAGTCTACCACTGAGAGCAAAAAGAATTAATCATTTCCCCACACACTTTTTTTTTTTCCCTTCATTTTCTCTCTCCTCTCCACCTCTGGGATCTTCAGTTTCTGTGCAGGAATATTTGGGTGTGTCCAAGGTTCAGGCCTGGGAAGGATGGGGAGACTCTTGATTTAAAGAACGTCCTAGGTATTTACATGTATTTTAAAATCCTTTCTTTTCTTTTTTCCTTTGAAGGCACAAGTGATCCCTATGTGAAATTTAAGCTGAACGGGAAGACGCTGTACAAAAGCAAAGTTATATATAAGAACTTGAACCCAGTCTGGGATGAGATAGTTGTCTTGCCAATACAAAGCCTTGATCAGAAGCTACGTGTGAAGGTAATCACAGAGCCCTCTCTGATACGCTCCCTTATTAAAAACATTTATTTCTCAGGGAGTTTTTCATACCCTCTTCAAAGCAAGCTTGCCAAAATGGAATCCTTTCATTATTCTCAAGGACAGGGTTAAACCATTTCAATATAGACAGAATCGTTTATGCCATTTGTTAAAACCGTATGTTCCTGTCAGATTGACGAGACACGTTCTCCAGAAAGTGAGCATGAAAGTCATACCTCCATTGATAATATTTAAATTCACCGAACATGGAGGAATTATTCCTGGTAGTGTGCAGTGGCGACAGAAGCTAAAGCTTTTCTCACTAGAAATAGCTGTTTATGTCAGAGAGCTTTAAGCTACCGGTCGGAAGCATCTAACATCTGGGATAAAACTGCATGAGTTGACTGCAGTATGGGATTGCTGGAGAAAATTTAGCAAATTTCTGTTTAATTGGCAGATCTGTTCACTGTGGAAAATACTACATTTTAATGAGAGACCGTTTAAACTAGAGAGTGGTCCATTGTATGCGATATTTCCATGCAGCCGATAGCTTTAAAGTAGGATTTGCGGTTGATTTGGCCGTGGTAGGCAAAATGGCAGGTCTGAATGATTTTCTTCTCTGCCTGCAGAGATTATCTTTCACTGTATCGTGCAAACTATTGTAAGATACGAAAGATGGATTTCAGTGTTTTGAGCCTGTTGGAGCTGTTCTTGATTTGATAAATTCAGTTGGTTTACCATATGCATGCCTATGCCTGGCCTCTGTCTTCTTTATAGGTTTATGATCGCGATTTAACCACGTCCGATTTCATGGGATCTGCGTTTGTCATTCTCAGTGATCTTGAGCTTAACAGGTATTGTATTTTTTTTTTAAACCTTTTTAATGTTCACAAATCTTGGAGGGAACACAAGCTAATCTCGAGTGGAATGTGGCGATCAAGTGAGAGGACATCTAATTGAAAGACAGGGCTTTGAGGTGTAGGAATGCTCAATTTATTTTCTAAGTTTTTACCTTTTTGATGCCAGATGTAATAGTCAGATGTTAAATGTTTTGTAATGTATTTTAAAATGCCTATTGAATTTTACGCCTTTTTTTTTTTTTTTTGGTTGCTATTCAGGTTCAGTTAACCTCACTTAAAATTAAAACAAGTATTTGAATTTTACCTGGGCTGTAGGAAAAAAGAAGACTAGTTAGCCAACTGTTGGATTAGATGATGCCAAACAGCCTCTCTACCCTGAATTATAGTTGTTTAATTTTCCCTGCATTTGGTGCCCCCCTCCTTTTTTTTAATTCTGTGTCTAATCCTTATTCAAAGACAGACTTTTCCAGCTTCCGTTGCCTATAAGACTATACAGTACTGTCAATAACAGCCCAAATTCTCGTTTGCCTTTTGCTTGTAGGACGACTGAACGTATTTTACGATTGGAAGATCCAAACAGTTTAGAAGATGACATGGGGGTGATTGTGCTAAATTTGAACTTAGTAGTGAAACAGGGGGATTTCAAGAGACACGTAAGCATGACCTTTCTGCTCAAACTCATTGCCTTTGACTGCTGGGCCCGCAGATGACTGACTCTGTCATTTTTTCTTTTTTTGGGGGGGAGGAGAGGGAGGGAGACATACAATTTTATAGATATTTAACATGCATATTTGTGGTTCTATACCTCCTGTCTTTTGAAACAGAGACTCATTTAAAATGATATTTGTTTTGGCTAGGAATTTGGTAAGTATTGTCATTAATACTTACGTTAGTATTAGAGCTGCTTTATACTGTGTGTGTGTGTAGTATATTAGTATAAGAGCTATTTATGGTTTGCATATCAGAGATCACCTGAGATACACGTGGTGAGTGTTAAGGCTTTTAGCATTCTTAAGGTCCTCAGTAACTTAGGCGTTACTCAGCAGTTCCCAGAATTTAATTATTGCTTTGTCTATTATTAATATGTACATTTGTAGCATTTCGTTTCTTCTTTTGCTTTTCTTTGACTGGTAGGTTTTTACTTCCAGGCATACTTTAGAAGGGGAAATCAAAATTTTCATGTTCTCTGGTCTAGAACATGGAAATTACTATTTAATACACTTCCTATTAAAGATGTGTATAAGTTTGGTGAAGGCTTACATTTTATGATATGATTGGGGCTCTGGTCTCATGAGCAAATAATGTGGGTACAAGTCATTGTGTTATATTCAGGAATGATATCTTAGAATTTCAAGAATTAAAATAAGAATAGAAGTATCTTTGAATATAATTTGTGTGGAAGTTATTTTTAAAGCCACCCAAACTACCTCCCTGAAAAAGAGTAAGATATGTTATCATTTAGCATGTTGAGGATTCAGTATGAAAATCTGAAGCCTCTTTGTAAATTAGGCCTTTAATAATGCTCCTAAAATTGAACTGACGGGATGAAGGAGAATATTCTTCATTTTGACATCACTGGTGCTTTTAATTGTAATTTATTCTAGTGATGAAAATCATGACTGACTTAGTAAATGCATGAAAGACAGCTTAAAGAAGTCGCAAACTGCATTGGAACTTTTTCGTTGCCAAAGGTCAAATATTTGCTATTTTAAATTTTAATTTCTTATGAGAATTAACTGGAAAACAATTAAGACCTAAGTAAGGCAGATAATTTCACAAGAAAATATCTTAAATGGATGTTGTAAAGAAACTTCCCCCCCTTGTTCTCCAAGATGAAAGAGGGATTTGCTTTAAGTTCTTTATTCCTGATGTTATTTCCACTACATTTGTGCCTCTGGGTTCAATGGTGAGGTGGATGTTAGGTTAAAATAATATGCAATGTAAGTAAATATTATTTGCCACATGGTTGAGCCCCTGCCAGCCGATTCATTCTAGAAACTTCTTGTTTAAATGGCATTTGTAAAGTTGTATGATTTCCCCGTGGAGATAGCTGAATATTTAAATAACCACCCCTGTGAATTTTCCTGTAGCATTTTGGGTTATAATTAACAGTGATACTGGTACTTAAAATGTATTTAAATATTGTCCAAACTTGGGAGTGTGAAAGCAATGTCATTTCGGTTTCAAGTATCTCAAATTTCAGAGCAATTAATAGCAGATGCAGCTTGAATTTATTTTTGTAGCATATGTTGAAGGTATCTTTTCAACATCCAAAAAGTAGCCCCAGTCCTAATTTTACTTAGTTTGGTCTTCCAGCTCCTGGGTGGAGGGCTTTGCCTGGCTTTCTGCTCGCTCGTGTGTTTTCCTTATTACTTTCTTTGTTCTTTACCTAGTGAGGTCTAATGCACAGTATGTCCGTTTTATGGGGATATTATAACACAGACAATCTTGCCCACTCTTGTGTGTTCTGATGGGTGGTTGTATGTATACAATTGATCTGTGTATACAATTGATCAAAGTATAACTGATTAAGGAAGAAGTTTTTCTGGACCATATGTGGCTATTCAACTTAGAGTGGGTATCTCAAGCCTTTGGACTATCATAGATAACAGAAAAAAAAATTTTTAATTGAGTTTAAGTAGGGAATCAGCAGGTGGCATGGTGTTTAAGGCACTGGATACTCCTACGTGGCTGGCGGTGGTTTGCATCCTGGACCTGGTAGCTTGCTTTCTCAGTTTCTCTCTCTCTTTTTCTCGCTCTCTCTCTCTCTCTCTCTCCCTCTCCCTCTCCCTCATCAAATTAAAATAAATGAATGAAGGGGCAAGCAGGTGGCATGGTGATTAAGGCCTGGACACTCACATGGCCGACCACAATTTGAGTCTTGGACCTGCTAGCTTGCTTTCTCATTCTCTCTCTCTCTCTCTTGTCAAATTAAAATGAATGAATAAATAAATAAAATTGAATAAATCTTTTAAAAATAATAAAATAAGTGAATACATTTTAAAAAAAGAATAAATCTTTAGAAAATTGGCCATGCTGCAATCCTTTCTCCTGTATTCTTCTCCTGGAATTTTGGGCACACAAGTACACATGTCTGGTGTGATTTTCAAGTTGCCACGTGTAGGACTTGAACCATGGTTGCCCATGTGAGAATCCAGTGCCTTAAGCACAATGCCACCTGCTGTCCCCCAGTGTAGATTTTGACACATAGGTTTTCCTGCCTGTAACTCTTTGTCTTGTGCTGAATGATGGGCTGTTTCCCCAGGGGAAGTATTGTTAATGAATATTTTGAAGTTCTTTCTCTACCAGTATTGTATTACTGGTCAACCTAATATATAAGTGGATTTCTGCCAAAGAGTATGTATTTTCTGGTTTCTAATATATTTGGAAGATATTGGCAAAGTGGTTAGGCCATTTTCCTCAAGGAGTTTTTCCCCCTGTAAGCATAGCAGTGATGTGATCTGCTCGATCAGGTTCATAATAGAGTTATAATCTCTCAAATCCAAATTGTAACAACCAGTTAGCTGGTTAAGCAGCTGGAGTAGAGCTTTGTGGTACCGGACAGCGACAGGAGTTAATGAGAGAATTTTGCTGGGAGAGAATTTTAATCATAGATGAAATTCAAAGGCCTTTGCCTACCAAATGAGAGATCAGAAAAGCATAGTGAAGTTTCTTGATGTTCAGGAAATTCTTTTCGTCTTTCCCGCTGTGCTGTATTAGCCTATTGTACTTCGTTATGCAACAATAATTGATTTCCCCCCCTATTTTGCGTATTAAGATTTAATCCATGAAAGTAAATGGAATTATTTTTCTCTCATACTTAAAACTATGGAAACCTAAGTGAGAATTAACATTGGTCATGAATTTCTTCAACATTTTCCTAATGCTCTCTGAATATTTCAAGTAGGAGAAATGTGTCCCCCTCCCTCTTTTTTAGGATAAAATTGCAGTGTCATAATTAGAAATACGGATGATTCTAAGGCTCAAGCAGTATTCATATGCCATTGCTTTTTATTTTTTTTTTATTAAGTAATTTTTGTCATTAGGCATGTCTGGTCACCTGAGAAAAAATAGGGACAGTGATAGGGGAAAATAAGAAATTACCCCCCAGAGGGGATGGCCACACCGCAATCCCTTCTCCTCCAGTCTCTCCTGGGATTTTGAGCACAGATACACGTACACCTGGCATGATTTTCAAGCTACCAGTCCGGGATTTGATGTTGGTCGTGTGGGAGTCTGGCACACTTTAATCATCACAGCACCTGCCGGCCTCACCAGTTGCCTTTTCATATCAACGACTTTGAGAAAATAATGTAACAAACTGCATAAATGCTATTTTCGTAGTTTCTACTTTCTTAATCAGTTGGGCTCTCTTTGTAACCTCAGGACTTGAGTCTTGATCCTCTGAATGTATTTTGCACCATCTACCGTAGTTACATTGTTAACGATTCTGTTTCTGTTTCATTTTGCTGTTTTTCACCGTTTGATGAACACAATCCACAGCGTTGGTCAAATCGGAAGCGGTTGAGTGCCAGCAAGGTAAATATACTTTTTTTCCCCCTTAAATCATTTTGTTAAAAACTGTATCTCTGTAGAAAACATATACAATGTTGGTATTCCTGAACCTTAGCATGTAAGCAGCATTCTTTTTTTTTTTTTTTTTTTTTTTTTTTTTTGATATTGTTTCCCTTGGGTGCGCGGGCCCTCCCCTAGGGCGCGTGCGCTCGCCAGACAGACAGAGAGAGACACAGAGACAGAAAGCGAGAAATCACCCCCCAGGGGGGATGGTCACGCCGCAATCCCTTCTCCTCCATTCTCCTCTCGGGATCTTGGGCACGCACGCACACGCGCCCGGCGTGAGTTTTAAGCCACCAGGTCCGGGACACGAACCGTGGTCGACTACATGGGAGTCCAGCGACATAGCCATTACGCTAACTGCTGGTTCCCAAGCAGCATTCTTTTTCTCCTACTGTTGTTGCAAATGAAGAGAGAATAATCTTCCCTTACAAATTTTATTTAATAAGGGCATAGCCAGATGTTTGAACTTAAACTTGTTTTAGTGGTGACATTTTATGTGTACTGGACGTATTAAAATGTTAGACTTGGAGAACTGCAGGTGTGGGTAGTTAAAGTGTTGGACTCCCACGTAGCTGACTGTGGTTCGAGTCCTGGACCCGGCAACTTGAAATTCACACCAGGCACATGTACTTGCATGCCCAAAATCCCAAGAGAAGAATGGAGGATAGGAGATTGCAGTGTGGTCATCCCCCTTAGGGGTGGCTTTTTCACTTTCTCTTTCTGTCTCTATCCAGTAAGCATATGCACCTTATGGCAAATAAGTAAATATATTTAAAAAGTTACACTTCATTAAGCTTTGGATTATTTAGGATGGTTAGAGTTAGTCCTTTAGGAGGTTACTTACAATTAGATGGAAACCGCTATTCGTGTTTATAGGGGCAATGTAAAAACTGATTGAAAGAAATATGTGGTATATTTTGTAAGTCTTTCATAACTTGAGGCAAAGTTCTTTTACTTTTTTAGTAAGAGTATCTTTAAAAATTCCTTCATGAAGTGCTGATAATTCTATTTAGTGTCTTTTTAAGCAGTTATTCAGTAATGTCCCGTTTATACAAAGTGCCAAGGACAGAGTAATAAATTAAATTCTAATTTGAGTGACTAAATGTGAAAATTAATGTAAAAATAAACAAAACCAAAAGAAGTATTTATAAACTTATTTAAGCTCTGCTAGTTTATTTATTTTTTTTTTCTCTTTAAGGTTTTTCCGATAGGGTTCATGCACTTGACAGAGAAATACCGAGAGAGAGAGAAAGTTAAGAAATCACGCCCCCGGGGGAGATGGCCACCCCACAATCTCTTCTTCTCCATTGTCCTCCTGGGGTTTTGGGGTGTGCACGCGACACAGACCTGGCATGATTTTCAAGTTGCCAGGTCTAGAACTGAAACTGCGGTCAGCCCTGTGGGAGTCAGCACCTGACCCACTACACCACCTTCTGGGCCCAAAGCTCCAAGCTCTGTTCCTTTTAATTTTATTTATTTATCTATTTATCTATTTATTTATTTGGAGAGGTTTTTGCTATAGGGCATGTGTGCTTGCCAGAAAGAGAGACAGAGATAGAAAGCGAGAAATCACCCCCCAGGGGGGATGGCCACGCCACAATCCCTTCTCCTCCATTCTCCTCTCGGGATCTTGGGCACGCACGCACACGCGCCCGGCATGAGTTTAAGCCACCGGGTCTGGGATTTGAACTGCGGTTGACTACATGGGAGTTCAGCGACATAGCCATTATGCTAACTGCTGGTTCCATCTACTCCTTTTTAGAGAGAAAAAAAAAATCAATAAGAAAAATACATTTGTCGAGTGATGTAGTATTTCAGGCCATTTATTCAGCTTCGTTTTTGGATGGTGGTGGTTGTGTGTGTGTGTGGCAGGAAAAAGAGGCATCTATTACCTGTGTACATGTGTGTTTGCATCCTCACACGTGTGCACACTACAAATAAGGGGTCCTCTAAAAGTTTATGGAATGGCAACCGTGGTTCAGATCCCTGGCCGGGTCAGCTTGAGACAGGGCATGCCCTTAAGTGCTCGAGACCCGGCAAGCGGGAGGGCTGAAGGCAGGGGATTGCAGGGTGAGTACATCCTGATTCAGATACTCCTCTCTCCCGCCCCCAGTTCTCTCACTCTCCCATGCATGCACGCATGCTGTATCATGAATGAAGAAAAAAAAAAAAAAGAATTCATGGGGAAGTGTATTTTGAAAAAAAAAAAAAAAAAGCTATGCATAGATTTCAATTTTCTGGTACCCCCCAAATTCATACTTGGATTTCATGTTTTCATAAACTCTTTGAGGTCACCTTACATAAATAGGCCAGGTCTAATTTCTAAACATATGGTACCTTAGTTGTTTGCTTTTCTGTAAAATAAGGATTTTGAGGGGCCAGCAGGGTGCAAAGTGGGTAAGGTGCTGGACTCCCACATGATCAGCTGTGGTTTGAGTCCCGGGTCCAGCAATTTGACACTAATGCAAGGTACATGCACATGCGTGCCCAGAAACCCAAGAGGAGAATGGAAGAGAAGGGATTGCAGCATGGCCAACTCCCTTGGGGAGGGTAATTTCTTGTTTTCTCTCTCTGTCTCTTTCTGGTGAGTGCAAGTACCCTATAGCAAAAATCTCTTTTTTTAAAAAAAGTAATTAAGGAGTTTGAAACTGGGAACATGTCCATTCAAGCATTCTATGAGTAAGTGAGAGAGACAAAAAGAGAGAGAATTCTATCCTGATTCTTAGGAAGGATAAAAACCAAACTTTCTAAATCTTGCTTTTGGATAGTCAACGAAGACAAAGTCCTGGCTCGTCCTGACTAAAATACATATACTTTACATTCCAAACACTTTAAAATGACTATGATAACGTGTTTTGTTAGCCTACCAGCTCCCTCGAGTCTCAAGACACTGATTCTTTTTCCAAACAAAATTAAGAGGCAATAAATAATAACAAGCTGTTTCAAAAATCCCTCCAACTTTTGCCTTATTCCTTTATAGTCACTAGAGGGTAGAAGAACATCATTTCTCACCGTCGAAGGGAGCCCAGCGCGCACTCTCTCATATTAAGAGTGTCTGTAACCACCCAGAGCCGTAAAGTTTCCCAGCATGCTTTGGCGAAGCCTGACAAAGCAATATTTTCTTGTTTATTGATTCTGCTGCCACACTAAAACACTGGGACTGTACATCAATAACATCCTTAGTTAGGGAGCTTTGGTCTGTGGAAAAGCACTGGCAGTTTGTGGAAGAACATAAAGCCGGGAAAGAAAAATTGTGAGCTTGGGGAATATTGGAGTCTGGGGAGGAGAGGAGAGGTTATGGGAGAATGACCGAGGAACGGAGAGGGGTAGGAAACGTGTTGATGGCCTGGATAAAGATATCAAAAATATGAAAGGGAAGGTGGAGGATCCCAGAGAGCGGCATTTCTGTGTGCACCACGCAGTCGTGGCTTAAAACTGAAATGTCTTGGTTTTGTTTCCCAGTCGTGGTATCAATAGTTTCTTGAAATTGGACTTCTGTCTACTGGGCTCTGGGATGTTCTTTATGCCCAAACTATGTACGTATGTTTAATAGAATCTTGAAGCTCACAGAAAGCTACTCATGTTCTTATTCAAGACATGCAAAGTATATATTGGTGGAAAACTGCATTTTTACATTGGCTTTTTGCTGCTGAGAGTATATCCTTTTAAAGAGAAAAGTGAGATAGCGTCTAATTTGGATTAGACAAATCATAGGAAAATTCCATGGACACTGATCAAAAGTCTGTAAAAGTAGTTAAAATACAAGGGTTAACTTATTTTTTTTTCTTTTGGTGTTTTTAGACTCTAAGCTGCTTTTTTAAGATCTCCATATTATATTTTTATGTGACATGATGGTGTGACATAAAGATTACTTAGCTGTGAACAGCAAACGTTTTGCTAGTGCTAAGTAATGCATTACCTATAAGGTATCATTGACTCTTCCACCTCATTCTTACTTTTAGAATAACTTAACTTTATTTAGGTAATTGCTTCTTAACCCCTATACCTTTATAATTTTCCATCTTCCAAAATGTTCCTGAATGTAGAGCCTTTATGAATGGCTCTGAAATGTTTTCTTATATTCTGGTCTGGATTTTGATATTATAAATACATAGATTGCTTTTAATAATGGGCTCAATCCAAAAGTCTTTTTAAAAGAGCTTTGAAATGATTGGGAATACAGATCGGATACCTAGTTCTCCATGTATGTGGTATATATGGACATTATGTGGATACACCTAGTTCTCCATGTATGTGGTATATATGGAAAATATGATATATATAGCACACACACATATGTGTATATATGTATATATATTGCATGTGTGTATATGTATAAGTACATATACACATGTGTGTATGCATATATGCATGTGTGTATGTGTGTATATGCGTGTGTGTGTGTGTATGTAAAATCTTTGGTATGGCTAGACCTGTTCCTATGCCTACCTTTTCTCTCTCTCTGTCTCTCTTTTTTTTTTTTTTTTGAGAGAGAATTTTACTATAGGTTACATGCACTACCCAGAGAGACAGAGACAGATAGAGATAGAAAGCAAGAAATCATCCCCCCCAGGGGGGATGGCCACGCCACAATCCCTTCTCCTCCACTCTCCTCTTGGGATCTTGAGCATGCATACACATGCACCCAGCATGAGTTTTAAGCCACTAGATCCGGGACTCAAGCCGTGGTCAACTATGTGGGAGTCCAGCAATGTAACCATTAAACCGTCTTCTGGTCCCTTGTTTTTTTTTTTTTTTTTTTTTTTTTTTTTTTTTTTTTTTTTTTTGTGCGTTTTTCTTTTGGGGGGGTT